TTTCCACGATCACAAAGTGATTTCCACGATCACAAAGTGATTTCCACTTCCACTGGGGCAGGATAGGAACCGACAGAGGGACCTTAAAAACCAACAACACAAAACTAAACCCTCCAACAAACCAAGAAACCCGAAAGAACACACAGAATTCCCCGTTTTTCCTGAAGTTTTAACAGGATTTTTGCAAAGGAAGCTCAGCCTGTTTCCAAATTTGACTCCCTGGCCATTAAGGGATGAGATTCAAGTGCTTTGTGCACGTGGCCCCTTAAGCCCATGGAGACACTGGGACATTAGTGGGGCTCCAGATGGGCACGAGGGGCCTCCCACCTGGCTGCTGCTTCCCAGGAGGAACATCCAGGATAAGCACTGGCTGCTGATCCAGAAAGCAACGCTGGAGTTATGGACTGTATTCCAGCCACTCATCTGCCACATGCGAGGGCTAAGAGTAGGAAAAATAAAAATAAATCTCCTGACAAAAGGGAATTAAATAACCCACTGAAAACCAAGGCACTGCGACTTAACGCCAAGATCTCCAGGGCTTTTTAACCAGGAAGAAAGACTGATCCCTCCACAACCAAAGAACCCCAGGACCATAAGAAAAGTTCCATTATTCCAAGTGTTGCATCATAAAGATTCTCCTCAAACATCCTCCTGCCCAGTCCAAATAACACCAACACATCCACCCCCAAAGGGAGGAAGGTAAGGCAGCAAACTCCAAGGAAACACTGCTGAAGACAAATATAAGTCAGGCCTAAACAGCAATTTTTAAAGGTCCTTGCTAATTCCAAACAATCTGCCCCAGAGTCTAATCAGGAATACAGGAAAATAATGATTAATTTTCTCTCAGAAGGTAAAGAACTGGAAAATCCACACCAAGTTTTCCTACAAGCAATTACCAGTTCTAAATCCCTACTGATAACAGCAGCAAAAAGAGCTTAAAAACCCAAATAAAAGGAAACTGTTGCCTTTGAGTGGTAGCTGTTGATGATTCACGGTCTGTCTTAGCACAGGTTGAGGAATTCAATTCCTTCAGTTCTTGGAAGGCTGTGACAGCAGCCAGAAGCCCCAAGTTAGCCTGAGACCCCTTTGTGGGTCCTGTAGAAATGCAGGAATTGCATCCAACACCACCCAGAATCCCAGTCCCACCCAGTGGCTCCTTCAGAGGGACCTTCACTCCCCAATCCTCCCAAATCCACCTCTGTCCTTCCAGCACAAACTTGGCTGCAGGAGCTGGAGGCCTATGGAAGTGAAGGTTTATCAGCAATTTTATCTCTAGGATTCAAAGTAAGGGAAGAGCCTGAATTATCCTGCCTGGCTTCGGAATTCTGCTGGAATTCTGGGAATTTTACTGTGCAACCACACTAAACCAAACCATACCTATTTGAAACTCTGAAACACAGAGAGATTGTTAAATCCCTGCAAGAATTAAGGTATCTCATCACTGGAGGCCATGGAAGTTGGGGGCAGAGCTGCAGCTCCACATTCACGGAGAGCATAATCCCGGAGCCGCTCCAGGTTTCCATGGGCAGATGAAAGGAGATCAATGAGATCTCAGGTTGAGAAAAGCAGCACTGTCATGAAATAAAAAAGGAAATTACACCCTCTACTCTTGGACAGGCTTTTGCTGCCCAAGCCCTGCCTGTAACAAACTGAAAAGGGAGTCCCACGTTCCAATGATAGGGTTTTATACACGGGTCTGGAGAGTTTAACGACCATTATCGATGTTCTTTTCACGTTTAAACCCAAAATTAGTACGAGCAGAAAGAAAACTCATGGCAAACTATTAGAAAGAACTACAGCCCTGGCTGCTGCCTTCAGTTCTCCACCACAACATCGTCAAATATCAACCCAACTCTGTTTTCCTCCCGTCCTTCCCACCCCACCAAATCAGGGATTTCGCAAACTCTCCCCAGCCTGATCACAAAACTGCTGCTTCACACAAGACAGGAACGTACAAATTAGAAATGGGAGCCACAACAGCACGTCAGGAGAGCTCTTTCTTGTGGGCATCCTCCAGGGATGACACACACTCCCTGCTGACCACCATGGAACCGGGATGCCCCTCTGGAATACACACCCATGGCCTACTCCATGGCCCAGCATCCAGCACTTAATTGACCAAAAACAAACCAAAGCACTCAAACCGCCTTTCTGAAATTACAGAGGACGTAATTAAGCCCCAGGAATAAGCAGACAACAGCAATTTTAATATAAACATCCTACTTGTGGAGAGGACTCCGATTCCAACTTGGCCTTAATGTCCCAACTCTTACTCCTGGATCCTTGCAAAGGCCTCTCCCAACATTTCCTCGAGCCCAGGATTGAGTTTGACATTTAAACCCACCGCATTTTTAACCTATTTCAGACATTTTGACACGCAACCAGCAGAAAACATGGTCAGGTCAGACCACCAGTGGTACCTGATGGAGACATTTGGCCTTCCCAGCCAGAAAAGCCACGGAAAAACAAGATCCCGACGTATATATTTGAACAAATCATTGCCCAAATATAGCCGGGCACCAGAGACAAACCAGGGGCTGCCACCAACCACCCCCCCGACCCCGCAAACACCGAGCCCAGCCCCTGGACTGCCCGTCCCTGGAAGTTCAGCTGCGGGAGAGGGTCTTTGTACAAGTGGTCTTTGTACCTTAATAACTCAAACAATAAGTCAAACAACGGCCTGGGGCCGGGGGGGGGGGGGGGGGGGGGGGGGGCAGCCCAGGGGGGGGCTCGGTGTTATCCCGGGAAAACACCACTTTGGGGACACTCAGCACCGCCCCGAACTTTGCCACCGCCGCCCCCCCCCC